AGGAGAACAAGAAAGAGGGAGAGGAAATGGAGACTGAGACCCTTACTGACCAACTTTAGTACTGGAACGAGTTTCAGTCTTTGGTAGCTAAATTATCGTTCCTTGGCCTGAGGGACAGATTCCTATTTCATTCTACCATCCTTCCCATTGACAATAAAGTGGGCGTGTCTGATATTGCTTATTAATGTGGGTGTGGTTTTAAGGTTAAAGATTATGTAACTGATCTCTGCTCGGACAGTATTTGATGAGAGTTTGTTGAGTGTGGTCACCGAAGAACTTCAGGATTTATTAAGTGGTTTGCTCAATGCCATATACGGTAATGGACATTATTCTTACTATTGTTATTATTATTATTATTATAAAGGAACAGGCAACAAGTCTAGAATATCATCAATAAAGTATTAGAATTAGTAAAATTAAGTTAGTTAGAAAATAATAGGTTAATTAAGTCATTGTTATTTTGTAAGAGAAATAATGTTATTATTATTATTGTTATTAGGTGACATTAGTAAGGAGTGGTCTGGTAGGATATTACATCACATATACAATTGCTATGGACAATTACGGTATTACATGTACAACATGTACATGTATGTTTCAGCTTTCTTTGCTTAGGATTTGTGAATTGTTTAATATTATTGTTGATTTTCCTGATTCAGAATCAGCGCTGGTTGATTTGCGTGAGTGCTTGCGTCACGTTGATTTGAGAGAAGAGCTCATGGAATCATTAACTAAAGTGTTAGACTTAAATTTGCATGTAACCAATCCATTTTCTCTTCTAATAAATTAAATAATTTTTACGAATGTGTTATTTTTATTGTTTAGTATCATTTGATCTATTTAAATTTTTAATAATAGCAATAATAATAATTATTATTTATGATTCTAATATTTTATTTTTCCCCCACCAGTTATGACTATGCCCTTAAAGCGGTTTGGAACCGGTTTAGAAATAAATCAGTTTACGTGTGGACAATTTCAATGAGGTTTAAACCGACTTATCTCAAACCACCTCAGGAGGTGGTTTGAGATAATCAAACCGGTTTAAGTACTGAAGCAGCTGTATTATGTATGCAATGTAGCATTGTAAACCGATTCCACCACAGTTATGTGTGGACACAATTAAGCTGGTTTCTGAACCGCTTTGATCCAAACTGGTTTGTAGTGTAAACGGGGC